AAACAAACAAACAAACAAATTTAAGGGTTCTAGATAGAGGTTACAATAAATTACTGAAGTGAGGCCTCTATCTTCTACATATGCAATATGTTTGGACTAACAGTTATATATTTAGCTTCCTATTAGAAATAGATAAAAATATAATTTGAAAATGTGCAGTTTTATAAAAGAATATCCCCTGTGTATCTTTAGATATGATTATTAAAGTGTGCTATAGGAAAGGACAATATATTTTATTTCAGTATTATTTCTGCCTTGTCTTACCTTTTTTTTTAGATTAAATTAGCAGTAAGAACTAAGAAACTTTGATGAGTAAAATATATCTGCACTTTGGAATATGCAAGCAATAGAAGCTGAACTGGGAGATTTGTAAATAATATTTTCAATCTGTTAAACTCACAAATATAGTGAACACAAAAAGTAGACTAATAGCTTAACACGGTACTCCTAGAAAAAAACTAAAAAGTAATCTCATAACTAAGTTTTCACAATTAGACTAATAGTTTATTGGCACTCTTGTGAAACTAAAGAAAATGCAAAATCCTATAAACCAATAGCCTAAGCAACACTCTGTGAAACATAAGAACATAAAAAATATAAAAAAATATGTTTTTCAGAGATAGACTAGTAGTTTAATTACATTTTGTAAAGCTTAAAAATACAAATACCTCTTGTAGGCAGCTAAACCTTCATTAAATGAAATCAAGAAATTTAACACAAGAACTTTAATACATAAACCAATAGCCTCGTACTTACTCTATAATGAAAAAACGGTTTGAGAGTTTTCCGTGAAGGAACTTTGGTAAGCATATTTGTGTACTCTTTAAAATATTCAAATACAGAGATTGATTATGTTATATTAAAATGATTTTGAAGCTTCATGACGCCGTTACAGTACACATCGCTAAGTGCAGTCATTCTCTACATACATGCATGTAAGATTATAAAAAGTTTACACATATTTCCAATGTATTTTCGGAGTACAATCCTCTTCATCATCGATAAATACCCAAATAAAATAGATGAATTATTCAACAGGAACTTCGTTCTTCATAAGGCCAATCGTAAAGAACCTGCCTTTTTGTAGGATTTTGTCGCTGTTCATACCTTAGTTGTTTCCAAATAGCATCATCTGAGAAGTCTTATTACAAATGTCTTTGGATTCGATACACATACGAAAGTATTAAACTTCTTGTGCTTCAAGCTTCTTTGTTCACCTGAAGCAAACAGAGAAATACAGATAACCGACTTTTCATATTCAGTGAGTCCCCCAGTGAGTCAGCGGAAGTTTACAGACTTACAACTCAGCGGTGAACAGAGCGCATATAACCTACTGTGTTTCTTTACGCTAATACAAGCAGTCACATACTCGTGGTTATCTAGAAAAAAAAAGATAAT